CTTTAATAAATATAGACATTTAATAGTTTTATTATTACATTTAATTAAAAGCAAAAATTAAATGTAAATATAAAGCCATAAATATGTTTTATTTTGAATGTATGATTAAGTTTCAACAACATTCAGCTTATGACTCTGCATACTTAGTTAGTTACAGTTCCATTTTAAATAGTTGTTACTGATGTATTTTGTATTACATTTCAGTTTCATGCTGTGCAATACTGTTGGATTCACAGATCCAGACCTCTGTGATCCTCTGTTTGATCTACGTTTTTTATTCTCTCTGATTCTGTTTTATCTTTTTATTTTGGAAAGTTAAACTGGTTAAATTATCAAAAAAGTGTTCTTCTGAGTGTTTTTCCTTTTTGAGAAATTAAAATCTAGGAGAAATAACACTTTATTTTATTAATACAGACATTCTTAATCTTTGTCACTTAACCTAAAAGTAAAACGACCTTGCTTAAACTTACCTTGCGAGTTTTTACTTGCACAACATTTCTTGCAGTGTTGTAACTGTGTTCAGTCTACTTTCAGAACTTAAGCTATGTAGACTCTGTAAAAACATCACATTTCACATTCCTTTAACATAGAATTTTGAAAACTATTTGAAAAGTAGTGCTAAAATGTTTGTGATCCAAAAGATTCAGCACGGTGCGTTTCTCTGTGACAGCTGAGATCTACCCAAGAGTCAGAGTACAACAGAGTACAGCTTACTTTTGCAGAATTAATATACATACAGACTGTAGTACCAAAAGGGGCTGTATCTGAACTCTGTATGTTTAACCAAATTAATATTTCAGAATTTGTTTTTGAAAATATTTTAAATCAACACTTTTAAAATAAAAAAACACAGTTGTACCATAGTACCCTTTCTTTATTTCTTGTCTTTTTAGATTTTTCTGTTTCCAGCCATAGGACAGACGCACCTAAATCACCCTGCAAAAAAATGTACTTTCAAAAATGGGCACTTCATATGTTAGAAAAGAAATATAAATTAAAAGGCAAATGGCACGATTTTCATCTCAGTCAATAGCATTAAATCGAATTGTAAATAAATTAGTCTTCATTACTCGTGCAATTATCCAATTTTAGGTTGTTTGCAGATGCTTTCCCATGATCTTTGATATATTCTGGAATAGGTTAAATCAATTAAAAGGTTTTGTAATACTTTGAACTGTTTTTTTCCAATTTTAACTGGTAATCATTACCTTTAAACCTGTCAAAAACAGGAAAAAAGTTCAATAAAACCATTCAGGTTAAAACTTCCCTTAGGCTCTTGTAATTCAAAAATTGTCTGTAACCTGACTCATGACAAATCACTTTATATAGCATCTTGATAAAGTGCCTCAAACCACATAACAAAATAGAAAAATAATAATAATGTAAGATAACAGGACAATGTTGAAATAAAAAATTAGTTTTCTGCTAAAATATATTAAAATATATTTTAATATAAATATGAATAAATATATACAGTAAATATAATATTTTCCATAAGTGTTTTAACTTTCATTAAACAAATTAAAGTAGAGCAGACACAAGCTGTGTCAATGAACCATAGAGATAATCTCTTAAACTACTATTTATCGATGGTGTTGCAGCATTCAGAAATTTGAGTAGCATTTTAATGATCAGTAAGGTCCTGGCTTGTGCAAAGAATTAATGAAAACCAAGTTCCTGAAATGTTTGTGTACTGAAGTGTTTAAGATTTAACATGATACTCCATGGTAACAGAAAACATCATAGGTAGTACTTTAAAATGAATATAGTAATCATCTGAGAGATTGGTAAGAGAGTCCAGTGTTTGTCCTTAACATACTGTATATTAGAAAGAGACAACAGGATATATGGCAGTGACTATGAGATTCAATAACTGATTTACTAAACCCCAGTGTTTCTAGATGTTGGCTCAATGAGGTGTGTTGAGGCTTTGTACTGTAGACAAAATGAATTGAAACCACAATCAGTATGTTTTGAGTGAGTCTCTGGACGCTACACAAGGACGGTTCACCTAGCAGTTTTTTCACTGTGAAACTATTTACTAAGTATTTTAAATTAGGTTCAGAGCTTAAGCTCTTATGGGAATATAATAAAGATATCGAAATTAGTTTCTTTATTATGTAATTGATCTTGACTACTACAGGCCATTGCACTGGCTTGCTGGGATAAGTAGTTATTACCAAAGAGTTTTCTAAAGAAAAGGTCAAATAAATACAATCTAACTGCACTCAATAGCCAACTATTCATTTAAGGAATACACTTACCATCAAGGTTACTTCAAGTGGTTTTAAAACAATGTCACAATCATAGTCCTTTTGATTCCTTCTCAGGCTACTTTTCAAAGGATCACATCTCTGTGACCATTTCCTGTATTTTTGCAATTCTTATTAGCAGTATATTTCAATATGTAGATAACTCTTACTAAATTTGTTTGAATGTACATTTAACACAATGAAGAGTCATTGTTCACAGAACCTTTGTTTCCCATCTCACAATTGCCCTGCTTTTAACTAGAGACCAGGGCTCGCTTTTTGGTTGTGCCATGTTCTTGTACTGTATGCTTGTCTCTCATTTTTAATTGTGAGCCATTGTGTTTGTCGTATTTGCTGTATTTCAGGTTTCCTGGTTCAAGCAGTTTATTTTGTTTGAGGTTCATTAAAAACTCTGCTCCTTTTACTGGCATGCCCCACACAGAACTACCAGTTGACTCAAAATTGGAAGGAATACATGTACTATAAGATAGGATTGTAGAATCTCGATTTAATTGATTCCATTTGGCCAAATTCATCAGTGGAATTGCCCAAATAATTCTTCCACCAACCTTGAGTCCAAAATAATACCACAGATTGACCACTTCTTGTGGATGAGGTGCTTCAGGTATGTTACACTGTTACAGCTTTTCAGTAGATGGTGCAAAAATACATTAGTACTGTATATGTCAGTGTTTAAGATTTACTTCAGCTCTCCCAGCTCTGTAGTTGGTGTTGTGGGGGGCTCACATGAGGAGGAAGTAGAAGGGCTGACAGTTTTCAGAGAACACATGTATATTGCCTTAATCCCACATGTGCAAAGCAAGAGGGTTGTAGTTCTGAGGTGACTTAAGAACTGATCATTCTAAATTAAGGGTACGTAAAGAAATGGTCTGGCAATTCTGCTTTTTGAAAGTATACTGAGCATCAAAGGAAACATATTACTCTGTTTTTTAGAAAATAAAGTACATTTATTTTAGAAATTGAAGAAGTTTTTTTAGCATCTTTTTAATTAACTGATCGTTCATTACCGACTGTGATACTGACAATTAACCTTGACTGTTGCAAGAGAATGAGATCACAGGCAAAGGCAAACATTTTTTTTTAAGTTCTGTGCATCTCCTTTTGATACTGATTTTGGTTTAGTACGGTTGTGTTGTAAATCATTTGACTTAAATACTGTATGAATCCATTTCAAACTGCATTGAAAATACAGACATATTATAAATTAGAATGATAGTATTTTTGTAGATTATAAATTAACATTATAATAAATGTTTTGGTTAAATGGAGTAGCTTTACTTAGAAATTGCAGGGAGTCACAATCTTGCCAAACTCTTAAAAGAAGTACTGGAATCAGTTGTAGAAGTACTGTAGGTACTAGTGAAAGGTTTGTCAATGTTGAACTTGTAATGTATTGTATATTCTTAGTATGACAGGAGTTCACTTAGATAGAAAATTACATTTGAATGAAAAGTTCAAGCAGTATCTGTGTTCAGCTGAGTGTTTCAATAATTAATTACAGTAGTTTCCCAACATAGGGACATGTTGCCTTTTTGGCTAGCTATTTCCTATTGTGTTATAAGCCATTCAACATATAAAGCAAAAGATGGTAAAGAAAATGTGTTTGCAATGTAATATCACTGGAAAAAGATGTGTGTTTTTATTTAGGTATTTTGCAATAGGTAAGTTCAATTACAAAAACTCCAAATACCTGCTTAATAAAGGAATTTAAAAAAACTAAGTATAAGCACTAGTACAGTATGTTGCTTACAATCCAGGTGTAGAAGCTGTTTATGTGAACTGCTGCATCAAAAACAAGAACAAAAATGCTTGAATCAGGTCTTTCCTTGTGTAGTGTGAATTATTTTATGCAGTTTGTTTAAATTGAAGCTGTTTTCATTACACTAATTAACTGTTATCCAAAGATTCATTTTCCAAACAGCCCAATTATGGGTCTGCTATCCACTTGTATGTACATGTCCTAAAGTAGATTATACAACAGAGCACCCTCAACGCACAGTTTAGCATGTTAATTGCTTTCTCTGCCAGTTCCAAAATAACTAATTATAGTTTTGAGTGTCATTGCAAACATTTTCATTATAAATCACAAACACTTGAGGCACTTGGTAACTGGCTGATCTGTTAAATTAGCTGCTCTGGTTTTTATTTAGGCAAGCCTGCATTTGTAGCATAACATTTTGTTAATTAATGTGTAAAGTTGCAAAGCACAGCCCAGGATTGCCAAAAGCCTTGAGCCTCAACCATCTAAAGAAGAGCATTAAATTATGGCATGATATAAATCAATCCGCCTAGGTGGAATGGTATGTTATTAACATAAATGTCTGTAATGTAGGAAAAAAATGAATAAGATGAGATGCATATTAATATAGGGGCTAAGGGAAAACAGTCCTTCTTTCTGAATGTTATTGATGATATTATGGTGTCTGTATTGTTATAATTTTACATTGAGGTTTCTATTTCTCTTTTTCCAGTGTGTTTCTTTCAGTAGAGGTACAGACCCCACATCTAAGGTCCTACTGGACATGCAGAGAAATATGCCTTATTGCAGTTCTTCTGTGGGTGATGGTAGATCTCTCAGCATAGTGTTTTAAAGACCATTATAAACCCACAGAGTGGTTATTAATGAGAACTGTTAGGCTTTCTATTATGTCAGTGTTTTTTCTCAACAGCAGAAGTGCACCTTGTCTGTTACCTTTAACTAACCTTGTTTCACTCGTCTTGTGCTAGCTGGCTGGTGCAGTCCTGACTGCCGCTTTTATCTATCTGCTCTATAAAGAAGAGGAAGAAGAGTTCTCTGACATGTGATTGGTTAGCTTCTGTTTCAATCTACTTTCTGCAGTGATAATGGCAGGTTGGGAAACTGGAGTGGGGGCGGGTGCATGGTGTATCTCATGCTTCTGAGCTCCATTGCAGCTGTGCTGTTGCTCACTGTGGCTAATGCAAGCTTTGCCGCTGGATTCTAATGGAACACCTAGTGGGCTGTGGGGGACGCGCTGAAAGAGTCATGCTGAAGCTGCATCTGCTTCCACTGCACGCTGACTGATGCATGGCTGAGAAAGCAGTAATTTTACATCGCTCCTGTCGCTCCTAACCAGCAGATGCTTACAGTGTACTGTACTGTAGCTCTGAGCACCGATTCCTTCTGCAGTTATATTATTTCATAAAGTGATCAGTCTCATGCTGATCTGCAGATCACATGATTTGAAAGCATCCTACCAAGCTGCCATCTGTTTCATCTGCCAGTGTTCTCAGTGGTGCTCACGGTTAAGTTCATACAGCATGATGATTATGAAGTCCTGTTGACAAATCCATTTACAGAGATGCCATTAAAGTGATTAATTTGATTTGTGACTTTCAGGTGGTTTACATAAATCAAGTCCTGTTCTTCATTGTCACTGTTTATAAGTCATGTTCATCATGAAATACAAGAGCTCTTCTCTTGTATTTCTCACCCACAGGCCATCTCTTGCATTGTGTCAGATTTAATCTCATAATGCTCATAAATGGGGGCGGTAACAAACAGAAAAAAGAGGAACCAGATAAAATTATGGAAGAGCACAGTGGGTTGTAGAAGATAAGAATTTGCTGCTTTGGTTTGTTGTTATTTTATAGAATATTGTTGAATCTTTTAACCTAAATGTTTATGTCACTTATCTTTTTTTGTTTGTTTGTTTGTTTGTTTGTTTGTTTGTTTGTTTTTTTCCTTTGAATGTGTGGAGTAGGTTGTGTATATGTATAAAAAAATCTTAATTGCTTTAAAGCTTGCTTATTTGTCCAGGAAATGTTATACCTCTCAATACAGCCTACGCTGTATGTTCTTTAAGCTACCCTATGAATCCCACAGGTCTATAGGCCAGCCCAATGCTGGTAAGAACTCTCCACTAGAGTTCTCACTCTCTTGTTCCAGGTTGGAGCTTAAACACAGATTAAAAATCCTTCTTCCCAGCTCGTCTTAAAGCCTCTTCATAAATAAATCCCAGAGGAGTGATTAATTCCATGTAGAGCCTATTCCGATAACTCCTTTCACTCCTTCTAAGTGCTAAAGACTCACTCAGTTATGCCTCGTCTTTCTAAATTAATAGTCTAGGATCTATTTAAGGTTTCGAACCAAGAAGGTGGTTTCCTCATAGACCTTTCTCTCACTACATTACTGGATTATTATGTAGGAAAAGCGTCAAAGAAAAAAATAATTTTATAAAACTTACTGCTGGCTATTATACCACATGCAATATAAAAATGTTTTCTGCAGACATATTTAAGAATTTCAATTGATTATATATTAGAGATCAAAAGAAAATACATTGATTGGTACCTATTTGTTTTGTGAAACAATTTAAATAAATTAAATTCATTTATATAAATATTTTGAATATGTGGATGTGGTGAGCATCATGGAAAAAGAGGGAAGGTTATTATATTATACAAAGAAATGTGAACAAAATTTAATTATTTTTAGATGAAAATTATTTTAAAAATTAAATACTGACAATGACTATGTAGCTTGATTTGATAGAATATATAAACCAAACCAAAATATTGATGACTGGAACAATGTTATACTTCATCAGAGGAAAGAAGAGAAAATTATTTAAAGAATTAAAGTTAAATTACCTTACTACTACGTATAATTTACAAGCTTATTGGTGTTAACTCACTGCACTACAAGAAAAACAGACAAAATATTTAAAATAGTCAGAAGACCAATCAAGTTTCAGAAATAGACCAATAGACCAATAGACCATTTGCAAGTGGAGGGACAGGTAGTTCTAATTTGCAGTGAGTGTGTGTGTTTGTTTTAGAATCAGTGTAGAATTCTAAAAAAAAAATAGTTGAGCTCTGCACACATTTTTTTGTAAGCACAACAAAATGCAATACAAAAGTAAATAAGTATTCCCCATGCTGCACAAGACCCTTATTTGTAAATCCGGTCTCCATTCTTCTGAGTTCTAAATCCCCTCCAGGTATCTCCCTAAGTACCCCTACAGCTAGAGTGGATCCTACCTACCTCCACTGGCACCTCGGCACTCGACTGACACCATAGAGCCTAGTAGCTGTGTAAGCTCAGTGCCTCTGCCCCACCATCCCATTTACCAAGACAAACTCACGACACTCACGAAGAAAAGTATAAAAAGGGGAAGGGAACCTCTGATTCACTGGTAACATAAATACAATAAACTGTATACTTGCACCCACTACATTCTTGAGTTCCATAACTATATGAAACTAGCATCAAGTGAATTTTCAGAAATATGTTTCTCCCAAGGAAATTGAAGTAAAAGACATTAAACTGCAAAAAGTCAGTAATTATGTGCATCTGGGTCAAATAATGTCAACCAGTAACAATATGTCAAAAATAGAAATACTGTAAGCACTAAATGACACTGGAGTGGTTTTTGGACAATGTGATTTCAAAGAGCAAACTCAGACAGTGTATTTAACCTGATTAATGTGGAACCAGGAGCCTGAATACAACATTAAGGATGAGGACCAGGATGCTGAGGACCTGAATACATAATTGATATGAATTACAGGTGACCCAGAGAATCCTAAAAAGATATCTGCTTGGAATAATAAGAAGAGAAAGTTACAGGAATGTTAGAGGATACAAGAGCTTGTGACATTGTTAGAATAAAAAGACTAATGTGATAATGACACAGACATACAATGTGAAGAACACGGCCGTAAGAGGCTTGTGAACAACTGAATTCAGACCTCCTGTATGGTGGCAAGATGGAATCTGTAAGAGCAAAGAGGATGAAGGTAATGGAAGCAGAAATTAATGGAAGAATACTGTGGCAGCCCTCATCCAAAATTGATAAAGGCTGGTGATTAAATATACTATAAATATATATTAACAGCTGGGGTTTGGTCTGCTCTGGGGCTATTCCTGAAGTGTAATAGAACATGCTGCTTATTGGCAGTTGTTTCCATTTGAATCCCAATGTTTCACATGTAGTAGGCCAGTATTTATTTTACGAGCTGTGAAAATAGTGCATGCACAAATATTTAATTGGCGTTCTGACCAAATCAAGTTTAAATCAGTTGTTCTTTTTATGGTTTTTAGCACTTTTAAATGTATTATATTTTCTCTGTACAACTATTTTTTGCCTATAAAAATAACAGTCTTTTGAGGTGTCAGGTCTTTCAAAGTTATATCTGCAGGGCAGTGTGGTGAAACAGAAAGTAGGAACTAGAGCATAAGCAATTGGGAGCTCTACAGCTGCTCATTGAGAATGTTCCAAAATACACAGAAGACAATTTAAAACCTTTGGGACCATGCCAATGCCTACTGGGTCTAAATTGTCATTTTTTATCCATCACATTGAGGGACATGCAGCCTGAACATAGATACACTACTTAATAATGACATCCAGTCTGGAAAAATCGTGCTTGTAGTTTGAATCATGCTCTCTTCTTACATTTCCATTTGGCACAAAATATATCAAGGTTAATTCCATCATGAAAAGTAGAAATAAAACACATTTCTGCTAGAGGGGAAAGGTGCAAGATGATGAAGCAAGGGGGTGGTAAGGAGAACGAAAGAAAGAACAAGTGAGACTGGGCACAGTGCCCAGTGATAACTGCCCATACCTCGGGCTCCCCACTCTTATAGACTTTCTGTGCAGCCAAAGAGCAGGCTGAGCACTGCAGTGGTAAACCCTTTCCCCTGCAGATGCTGAAACAGAGAAGGTATCAGTGTAGTAAAAGATGTTATAACCAGCGTGTCCATGTTGGATAGATATGTTAAACAATAGACATTTCATTGACTGTTCATTTATATCATTCTCTCTATAAAATAGCATTGGAAATTCACTTAAGACACAGAGGACATAAGCAGGCTTGTAAAGTGAGACTGATTTCTGAGAAATCCACATTGCTTCTGAAACACAATTCTTTGGTTGAGAATTAAACTTACAGTATGTTTAGTGGGAGTATTGGCTAAAATAAACATACAGTATATAAATGATGCAATTTCTTAATGGGATTAGTATTTGCGATGACAGAATGGAAAATTGGTGTGATCGTGAAAGTGTTATAGTTATGCATTTTAATATACCATCACTGCTCTCTAAATCCACATTGACCAGCAGATTCAAAACTTGTCTAGATCACATTTACTTACCCTCATTATTTCTTTTTACCTTTGCTGAATAAGCATTAAAATGTCATGGTAATGAGCATTAAGATAACTAATGCAATACCATATTGTAAGACTAATCTTTTCCATTTTTATTTTCTAGTTGAAACTTACATTAAAGCACCTACAGAAATATTTGTATTTTCATTTTTGTTTAGCCTGTACTTTAATATGAAATGGATACCATGACTTGAAAATTGATTTATAGCCTCTTGTACAAAAGTAAATAAAATAACATGACAAGATTTAAAATACAGAATGATCTAAAGTCCAGACTTAAAAGTGTCCTCATCTAAAATATATACTATTTGGGAAATAAAATCTCCCTTTATCACTCCTGTAGTGGTATTTTGTTATAGAACATGCACAAAAATGACCTAATTACAGCACCACTGAAGTATCCACTGATGGAATTGTAGTTCCCATGGTAACTGTGACCTGCAGGGCTTTCATGCTTTTAAAATACTTTTGACCAACCTACATCATTTTATAGAGTGTGACAAACTTTTATTTCCATTTTTCATTTTGATATTAGTTTCACTCTTTGCTGTCAATTCTTTTTCAGCTCTGTGGAATGATTTTTACTTGTTGCCTGTACCGAAGAATCAAACTGGATCCCTACTGAAAACTCCACCACGAACGTTCCTTCAGGATAAACCATTGCCTGCTCAACATAAATGACAATCTTAACTCATTAATGTATGCATGTGTTTTATAAACATGTTTCAAATAAGCATCTTCATCCATTTTGTTCTCATTTGTAATATGCAACGTAGGCAGTTGCTTAATCAGTTTGCTTTATGGCAGCTCTCTCAGATATTTCATACGTTCAATGTACAAGGGCATGTCAAAAAGGTAAAGGCATAGGTTCAAACATGTACATGATATAATTTAATCGAAGTACATAATTTCCCTCTGTATTCTTCGCTTCCCACCCATTTTGTAGCATATGCATTCAGAACAATCCAACATTTCTTGATGCTGTCCTGGTAGAAGCTTTCTGATTTCAGTATAAATCACAAAGACACTGTTTGTGAGTGGTTTGAATACAAATGTCTTTACTTTTTGAAATACCTCTGTATATATTTACCATGCAATGGAATAATAATATCCCATTTCCAAATGTAAACATACACTGTATTTTTGTTCTCATGGTGCTTTTGTTCTCTAATTTTCATTCTAAATTTCATGGAACTTTTATTTAAATCACTACCATTTTTCACTAGGGATTGTTGACTGTACAGTTGTCTATTAACTAGTTTATATAAAAAAACATTTGAATTTTAATTTAAAAACTTGTTTCAATTACATATTTTAAAAGGGAAGATTTTAAAACCATATAAAATGGTATGAATATTTATAAAAGTAAATTACAACCTGATTTAAAATACAGAGGCAATAATGTATTTTGCAACATCAAGGACAAGTATACAGTATTTACAACCAGACAACATACTGTAGTAATAATGAGATAAGTACACCAAGTAATTCAAATCATTTGTTTTTAAATAAAATAAGGCTTAAGGTGTCATTAAGCTCCTCAAGAATATAAGCAGGGTCAAAGATGACAAAATTATATGTTTATTCGATTTATAGAAAAATCTTTTTTAGAGACAGTTTTTGAAAGATGTCAAAGGCTGGCTTTGTCTCCAAGCTGCAGTATGGCTCAGTGCCCACAATAGTGTTTGGATTCCTTGACTTCTGAATTTGACCTGAATTTATCACATCACTTTTCAGCAACATATCAGACATCCTCCCAGCCAGCAACCAGTTCCTCTCTGTGACTAAATGAAGTGGAGGTTCTGCATTCTATGGTAAATGTTAACAAGAGGTGGGCTGGGCTTACCACTACTGTGCCACCTTATTCTGGTGTAAGTCTAGGTCTGTTTTAGAGTGTGTGAAGTGACTAAAGCTCCTAATGAATGGGTGGTATCTTTTTTTTCTGTAATGAATTTTTTTAGCTCCTTAGACTGTTTTTTCTCTCCTACTGTATTTGCTGGGATACTTCAAAGGTTCCTTATAACAGTCAATCTTTTCCCACACTATGTATAGTAAATTTGCTCTTCCCTTTTTAATACCACACTCAATCCTCTATTTGAACTTTTAAATTGTCATGGTTTTATTTAAGCTTTTCCTGCACTCACTTCAGTGGAACAACATCTCTTCAGTCTAACCAGCTTTAAAATGTGACTAAATGAATGAATAATTTCCTGCATTTACAATATGCAAATCTGCCGGCGTTGTCTCAGTTAACACCAGACACTAAAGGTCTTGCCAAACAAATTTCAGCTGTAAGGTGCTTCAGAACTATGGGCACTATGGACATTTTAAAGAATCTCAATTGCTTGAAACTCATGCCATGATGGAAAAGGAGATGGGCCTTCTGTTTGCATGCTGTGTGAATCTTATTTTAAAAACTTTATAGAGTGTGCTATTCTATCCCTTCCCATAGTGCAGACAGAGGGCATAATGATTTTGAAGAGCTGGCTATATTGTAAAGGTATTCCCACAAGTGGACCAAAAAAATGAACTCACTCAATGTGGATTGGCATATGGCCTGGAGTTTACTTAAACCATTTTTCTGTTGATTGAATTAATGTTTTCCTACAGCAGTGTGATATCTCCCCTGTGTGAATTTGCTGGCAGATTCCTTAAATGTAGCCATCCTGGGTGGATCAGTGCAGTTTTATGCTGTGTGAGCTCTTTGGGGAATTATAAATTCTCTACATTTAGTGAAGTGCTTTCTGTATTGTGTTCAGCAATATAGTTCATCTTCTGTGTGAATTTACTGGTGTGTTTTAGGACTACACATTGTGGGGAATGCTTGCTGCACTTAGAACAGCAGTGTGATCTGATTTCTGTGTGATTACTCTGGTGCCTTCTAAAGTTGTCCAGTCATCTAAATCCAAACATGCTCTTGCCAGTTCCTCTCTAGAGGCAGGTACTGTAGGTACAATGTTTTAACAACCTAACGGGAGTCTGGCTATCGTACGAGGTGTAAATGGATGCTTAGGAAAGGGGAGTTCATAGTGTGCAGCGACACCCAAGTCACAGAGCAGAGACAGCACATCCCCACTGGATGGGGCCAGCAGCCTAGCACCAAACACAAAAGGTTGTCACTCCTCCAGTGAAACAAACAAATGCAGCTGTGCCAAATACTGGAAAGGCACAACTTGTCTACTGTACCTTAAAGTACAAATCGTTGCATGACAGTCTGAGCTACAGAACCATTCTTGTGCTGTGTATAACCACACTGCATTGGATTTTCTAAATAACCGTAGAAGGTCCCTACCAGCTAAAATGGCCTTGCATTATTTTTTTACCCTGATCTCCCCCATGATTCCAGATAAGTCTCCCCTACATTCTTCCCCCACACACAGGGACAGTGAATATGAATAAAGCACAGTTGGCCTTTCGTTTTCCAATTGAATTTTCATCTGTTGTGAACACCTCACTTAGTCATTGTGCCTATTTTGTGCTATTATGCAAAACATTAGTAGCCTCTGGTACAAACCAGAGAAAGACAGAATTTCTGGACAAACATTAATGGATGTTACAAAACAGATCACAGACCTGAAAAGAGCACAGGATTATTCACAAGGTAGTTGTTACAATTTCTAGAATTGCTTAGTTTCTTGTTTTACAGTACATAATATGTCACTGTTGTCTTTTAGTAAGAATTTAAAAAACTAATTTTGTAAAAGGTCATGTGATTTTGTAATATCTAACTTGTTTTGTGCTTTCCAAATTACCACCCCTCTAAGACCTATAAATGAACTTCATTCCCTGTTAACATATTTGTTCAGTCTTCATTCTCATAAGTGTTTCAATTTGAACGTTTATTGCTTGTGAGCCACACTTAAACCCTTTACTATTTAAAGATCTGATAACTTTTTAAAGACCATTTAACAGTGCATTTTAACTGTATCAGCACCATTTCAATCAAGTGAAGAGTTTTTATATGCCAGGTTAACTGGATGCTACAATTTACCAGACTAGCACAAAGTTTTAGGGGTTATGAACGCATAACAAATAAGGAGCTTTGTTTGCCAATCTTCAACACAATGGTTATCAAACATTTTTGCCCACTTTCAATAATTTTGTGCTATAAACATCAAAAGACATTAAAATCTGTAATTATAAAGAATGCTTTTTTTACAAATTATACATGCAGGTCAACAGTTCCATAACTAGAGTTTCACAGAGCAATTTAATAAAAGCTAAGATTGTCTGCACAAGATTGTTAATTTAGATCTAGAAGCTGATTGCCTTATTTCATATGCAAAAAAAAACTTGCATTGTTATAAAGTGTGATTTTTTTCATGAAAGTTTGTTTTAACCAATATGCAGTTAAGTTCATAATACTTTTTAGATTTGTTTATGGTTTAAGTGCCCTTTTTTCTGTTTCTGCTTATGAGATAACTGTTCAGCTTCAGAAATAACTTGTCAGTGCTGAATGTGAAATAGTTTGGTAAGATAGTTCATGTACTAGCTTTCAAAATACAATGTTCACTCACCTATATGACATCATCTATGATTATCAATGAAATAGATTATTTCAAAAGAATACACAGCAGTCTTTGCCTATGATAGATCATGCCTCTTGCCTCTATACATACTTGAGGCTTTTTATCACAGCATTAGCTGTGTAGTATACTGTATTTGTTGTCCAAATTATATTTGTTGTATATTATGCTTATTCAAGCATAATCAGATCCCATCAATTGTTTGTTGTCTTCTGTACTGACAGTTTTATCATATAGCAATTCATTGAAGCCAAAGTTCGAAGACTGGTGAGGCCACAAAATCATTTGGATACCCCTCATTTGATTTGGGTTATTGACAGTGTTGGACTAATTTCATCGTGTTGCTGCCTTCAAATAATTCATTGCAATATTTTCATTTGATTGAACTTTGTCACACTATGAAAATAAATCAAGCTTATGTCATACCAGTATTTTAATACCAATTTGTGACCATCAATATGAGATATGTGCATTCAAAAGTTCCATCATACACCACAGATTTAGCACTATGTTGCATGAGCACGTTTTTAGGATACAAAATATGATTGCTATGACCCTTCCTGAAGTACTGTTTTATTCAGGTGTTAAAATAGCTCTCTGGTACAAAATGTAAAGGAAAGCAAACAACAATTCCGGAACACAAGCATGAACACTCCCTAGAAATGCTTCTTTAATTGGATGAAATAATCATAATGTCAGCACGAACATAAAGTGATAAAGTGCATGTAATTAAGCCCTGTGCCTTCTGTTTCCTTCTTTTCAGAGAGGCCTTTAGAACTCGGCAACCTGATTACTTTAACAGTGTAGCTTTTTTAACATCAGGAAAGGAACAATTTTTCAAATTAATTATGAGAATGTGAATATTAATTAACTCTGGTCATTGCAAAACATCAGCAAGCAGAATCTAATCCAATCTAGAGGGTATCTTCTGCTTCAGCTTTTCCATACTGTATGTAAAGTCGTACATACCAGCCACAAACGGAAGTTTAATTGGTTTTCTGGCATTTAATTCAAAGATACTGCTTGCTCTTAAAAAACACGGAAGGTTTTCCTTGTAAGATATACTGTACAGTACACATGTTTTTGTTTTTTATCATTTTCTTAGTCTATATATGTTAAATTCAAATGTATCTTTTTCATTTTCATTTGATGTAAATCAAGGTTTGTGAAAGACTTTTTATATTGACATTGGAACTAGAACAGGAAG